TTCAAAGGGCAACTACTGTTAAGAATATGGGAAAACTTTTTTTGGGGTTGTCCAAATTATAAGGTATGCAAGCTAGTTTTGTTCTCTGTTGAAGTTATGCTTTTGTGTAAATTATGTTTCTGTTTTTGTTTTTTGATGTTTCTGTTTATTATCCATCATCCTCTAAACAATGAATCTTACAAGAAGGTATGCAAGCTGGTTGTGGCTTCTTTGATTGGTTTTATGAGGAGATAGGTGATGAGAAGGAGCAATTTTGAACCCATAGGCTGGGTGTGGTAACTAAGAGACTTGCTGAAGCAAAAAAGGACATTGAAAAAGCGACAATGGAAAATGAAGAATTAGGAAAAAAGCTGATGAAACTTGAAATTGAAATGAAGAATATCATGAAGTGGAAAAAGATTTTGAATTTGATATTTGTGATGATTATCATCGTATTAGTTGTTAGGGGTAGTTAGGTTATTACGGTTTGTTTGGAAGTATTATGTTTAGTTAAAGTTTGTATGACTTCAACATGAATGTAATAGTTGGATTTTAATATATGGATTGTATCAGTTTAGTTAATTTCAGTTTTTGCAGTTCAACATGAATGAATATAACAGTTTTGGATTATATCATGTCAATGTGTTTTTATATTTGGTATATAACAGTTTGGATTATGTTTGGTATATAACAGTTTGGTATATAACAACAACATACATAAAGCAGCATACATATAACAGTTTGGACTGCTTTTAGGTTCTGCTTTTAGGTTAAAGTGTTTTATCCAGTTTTGGTTATACATATAACAGTTTTGGTTATACATAAAGCAGCATACATAAAAGTTTGGATTATATGTTTGGTATATAACAGTTTTGCAGCATACATGTTTGGTATAAGCAGCATACATATAACAGTTTTGCTTTTAGGTCACAGTTTTGCAGCATACATATATACATGTTTTGCAGCATACATGTTTGGTATAAGCAGCATACATATAACAATTCTGCTTTTAGGTCACAGTTTTGCAGCACACATATATACATGTTTTGCAGCATACAATTTTGCAGCATACATGTTTGGTATGAGCAATATACATATAACAGTTCTGCTTTTAGGTCACAGTTTTGCAGCATACATATATACATGTTTTGCAGCATACAGTTTTGCAGCATAAAAGTTTGGATTATATGTTTGGTATATAACAGTTTTGGATTATATGTTTGGTATAAGCAGCATACATATAACAGTTCTGCTTTTTGGGTCACAATTTTTTATGTTTGGTATATAACAGTTTGGATTATATCACAGTTTTAGGTTCTGCTTTTTGGTATATCACAGCAGTAGAGTACAACATGTTCAAATTATAAACCTGTAATACTTTCCAAAACAACATGTTCATGACAGCAATAAAATACAACAATTGTAGAACTTGTTCATGACAGCAGTAGAGTACAACATGTTCAAATTATAACACATAAACTTGTTCACGACAACAACAATAGAACGTAATAGACTTGTTCCAAAACGACAGCAGTACAATACATAAACTTGTTCTAGGTAACTAAACATGTTCCACAACTTAGAGTTTCTTCTTTGGCGTGGTCCTCTTTGTTGGAGTAGACCTCCTTGTTACTGGGCCAACAACATTCTTCGCAGCACTCAACCTAGTTGTATGACCAGGTGGCACAAAAGGTCTTGTTGGCTTCCTTACAGGAAGCTTTTGTGTCTTGCCCTTAGCAGCCTTTACATTAGAAGTCTGAGATGCTTGGCAAGATTGTTGAGTAAGCTGAGTTGTTGAAGTAGGAGTGTGTTGACTAGTTTGTTGAGCAGTCTAAGATGGAGTCTGAGTTAGAGTATGATTGAGTTGGGCGGATTGTTGGCTAGGTTATTGAGTTGTTGTGTCCTTACAAGTAGATTTGTAATGTCCTGCTTTCTTACACCTACTACACTTCACCAGAAAATCTGTTCTTCTCAATTTGCGAGTAGACCCATCAATTTCACCTTGTTCTAGGTTCCTTCTCTTTTTAGATCTACCTGGCATCTTCCTGAACTTGGGTGGTTTCACATCTGGGTATGGTGTCTTAACCCACAAGTTTGCTCGATTAACAGGATAGATCACATGCTTATAAACTGCCTTGTACCTTGAAACCCTATAATAATCTGGAATGTAAGTATCAATTTTGAAATTCCTACTCTTCATAGCAGAATGAGCATGAACACATGGAAGCCCTGTGAGTTCCCATCTTTTGCATGAACATATCTGATCTTTCAGGTTCACAATAAATTTGTCAACTTGATTTTCTATGTGCCTTACTTCAAATATATGTTCATCAAACATCCTAAATGATTAAACAAACAAAAGTACATTAGTCACATGTATGTCATAAACAAACAAAATACATTACTCACATGTTGTGACATGCCTTACTAGCCAGTTGTTGGTGTATGTGCTTGTGACATCAAGTTTCTTTCTAATATTGGGCAAAATATCATTCTCATCCAAAGTTCCAAATCTCATTCTGTTATTTGCCCATCTCTCCGTCATGTATGTTCTGATGTCTTCTAACATAGTGATTAGAGGTTTTACCCTTGCTTCAAGAATGACACTATTAATGGACTCAGACATGTTGAGAACAACATCACATTTGTTTTCAGTCCTAGAGTAAGATCTATTCCAAAACCTTGGTGGGGTCTTCATCATATGTTTAAATGCTTCTTCATTGATGGCCCTCATTCCCTTCATCTCTTTTTCCCATGACTGTGGGTATGTTGACTTGGCAGCCTTCCATATTATGTCCTTCAACATCTTTCCAGAAAACTTTTTTCTACAATTGTTATAAAGGTGCCTAACACAAAACCTGTGCTCCACCCTTGGCAATAACTCATCCATAGTAGGTAGTAGACCCTGCAATAAATTGTTATTGCTTCCCTAAAATCATCCTTTGAACTAAAGTACATTCCCACATCCCACTTGTAATTTGACATGTCTTTTGGCTGTCTGAAAATTTGATGTTTTTTTCTTACAACACCACTGCTATCATCACTGTCACAACCACTTTGCATTTCCTCACTGTCATTGTCACTTCCTTTACCATCATTTTCTCCCTCCTCTCTGTTACCATCATTTTCAAGACCAACTAGGGCATCAAGTTCATCCTCCCTAATCTCATCACACCCATCAGACTCATCCTCAAAAGCAACATCTTCTGCGCTATCATAATTGTGGTCCTCATCTTCACTATCATCAGATGATAGACTTAAGTCATCATACACTGCAGCTTTGCCTTTTCCAACTCCAACATTACCTTGTTCCCCTGCAGCACTCCCTTTTTCAACTCCAATAGTATGATCATTCACCGCAGGAACCTCATCAACTCTAACAGCAGTGGCTTCATCAACCCTAACATTGGCTTCATCAACCCTAACTTCACCTTCCACAACTTCTTCATGTAGTTTACTAAGTAACTCCTCTACCTCATCTACAATTTCAGCAGGGTCCTCATCAACTTCATCAACAACAACATCACAATAGTCAGGTTGAGACAATGTGTGTTCAATATAAATATCAACAGTTTGGTGCACCATATACAGATCTGCAATTTCTAAAGCACCATTGTCATCAACAAGTCGGTTCATCCCAAATTGAGGGTCCTTGTAAAATATTGTTTCAAACTCCCTATAACCTAAGTCTTTCAATACACCAACTAGCTCAAAATAACTCCATCTGTCTACATCTACCCTCAAATCATCTACTACTTCATTCTCATATTCACTACGACCTTCATCTGTGAACTCACCACTATGATGAATTTTCAGAGTTATGTATTCGTCCATGATACCTAATCATACCATGTAAGTAATTAACGTTTAAACTAACAAATTTATATAAACCCTAAATCTGAACCTCTACCAGAAAACCCTAAATCAGAGAGAAATGAACTAACCTTTTGAGATTGACTCTTGAATCGTCTTCAATCCTCAATAAAAAAACCAGGTCTTCTTCTTCAACAGTCTTCTTCTTGAATCGTCTTCAATCTTCAAGCGTCTGCTCTTGAATTGTTCCTTCTTCTTCTTGAATCGTTCCTTCAATCTTCAAGCGTCTGCTCTTGAACACCAGAATCGTGAGTAATGAACACCAGGATCGTGCCCTCTTGAATCGTCTTCACTTCCACTAAGACACTTCACTTCCACCTCAACACTCCACATGAACAAACGTGACAATTTTTTCAAAAACAAACTAACGGCAACACACAGAAAGATAAACGTGACGCCATTTTAAAAGTTAAAGGATCAATTTGACACTTTTTAAAGATAAAGGACCAAAATGGACACCGAGTTAAAGTTAAGGGACCAAAAAAATTATTTTGCCTATATTTAATCATCTGAAATCAAAATACACCCAACATGTCATTTGGCACAAAGATCAAGAAGCGAATCTTGTAAAGCATTGCCTAGGCACATTGTAAGACCACTATCCTTTGTTCAACTCTACACAACAAATTCAACAATCCAATCTTTTGTATAATAAACTTATCCTTTGAAGATCAAATTTGATTATTTCTCTCTTAAAATATTAAATTTATATGTGAAACAACTAAAAATAGTACACAAAATACAATAATACAGTGCACAGTAATATTTGTCGTTAGTACAAGGTTGTACATTCTAACTCTGACAAAAGTTGGTTCATAATGTCTCTAATTCCAATGAATATCTCCTACAACAATCAATTGAAGAATTCAACATCTTTTTCCATTGTCTATTGGACAGAAACTGCGCTAGGGTGTGTTTAAAATATCATATAACCGGATGGTGGAAAACGTTCAGCAGTAGAATAGTCAAGTAAGCATTGCAATATAAAGAAACGAGAGAAACGGTCTTTTCTTTTAATTTCAATGTAGATAATTAGTTGTATTTCATACTAGCTTGCCAAAAATCTTTATGAGCCTTATGAGCTTTTCATTATATTCATGATTGGGTGGTAGAAGTTACAGATGAATATTTTAAACCCATCGAATGCTTTAGAAATCTAAAAGTAATTGAGGAAGAATACTCTCTAAATGAGTAGCTTCTATTTGACCATCACCCTCAGTCTCTGCAATAGCTACAGCACGCTGAATAGCCTCTGCATCCATTCAAAGATTTGTCAAAAACAATATGACATAGAATATGTGCAAATCATAGTCATTAGAAAGCATTAATGTGTTTCTCTTTTTAATATGGATGAACCTGTGATAAAGACCCGGAGAAGTTCACAGGTAAGCTTCAGAGCACTAGCATTAGCTGCATCGGAAAATATGGACAGATGCATTATGGTAAACATCCAATTTATAATGCAAACACAATTATAGTGCGGCATGATCACATAACCTCAACCAAATAAGAAATTTGTTAACAATGATAATGACATAAATACCAGAAGTTGTCCGATTCTTCTTGGACGACCCAGCTCCTACCTATAGGAGTAAAAACCCATTTGCAGATTATTGACAGACAATACAACAATTAAGTAGGAGATGTTCTGTAACTAAAGATAATAAAAATATTAGAGAATGTATGACCAATTACAAATGCTACTCCCATTGATACCACCCAGCCAAATATAAACTATATTGTTGTAGATCAAGTCTTTTGTGAAATAGATTGAGAATGGAGAACCACCATACCATAAAAACAAATGTTGCAACACCTAAATAATGAAGAAAAGAGATTGAAACCGAAAGGGAAACAGTTGAGTCCACTGATCAATATTTTTGAGACAAAAAGAATTACAAATTTACATGAGTGCAAATAGTAAAAAAACACGGTAAGCAAACTACTATGCACTCTCTTGTACTCCGTGCTTATTTCACTACATAGACCTCTCATTTAGTGTTGTCAATTGCGGATAGTCAAAACTAACGGATTTTTGAGATTCCGCTATGCAATAGAGCTATATCACCGCTATAGCGGCTATTTGACAACATTTTGTACTGAATAGCATATCACGGAACAATAGCGGTTTGTTCAAATTCCACTACGCTATAGCGGTATAGCCCCAGTATACTAGCTATTTAACAATATTGCTCTCATTTATAGCAAAAACCAACACAAATCTCTCTTGCCTTTATCAAAACATGCACTACACCTAACTCTTAACGCTGCTAGGACACAATTTTCTTAAATGACCGGTTAGCGTATGATCTATAAGGATTTTTTGTGGTCATTCAGATTCACATGTTCATAATTTCAAGTTGAAGGCTTCACAATGATGTGGTCAAAAGTAACAATCAAATAAGTTTTTGAAAAATACATTCCTAGGCAGCATATGAAGGTATCTTGTATCCAATAAAATGATTGATATTGAGATATCCTGCAAGCAATACTTAACCAAATGATGTAGATGTAAACAACAGTAAAAACAAATAACACAGCACACAGTAAGAACAAAGGAAGAAACCAAGGACAGTTTGCATTATTGCTAATAAGAAAAACAAGAAATCCGATAAGCATGGCTCCTATGAAGTCTGAGAAACATTGTATTGAGTAACACCCGCACAAGAAAGTGAATTTAGGTGTTTTCCACTGAAAAAACATGCACCAGTAACCTACGCAGCACAGACACCAGAAACACGACACCGACGTTGACACGGCAAACTCGGTAATAATTTGAAATAAAAAGAATAAATTATAGTGTCCGAGTCGATTTTAGACATCAACACTGACACAAAAAGAAATCTTATGTTCCAAATCAAAAGTTCCCGAAACTCAACAAGTAGCATTCAGAAATTGATATTGAATTTCAAGAAAGAAACATAAAACCTCGGTCTCACTCTCTGGAGCCAACCAACAAACATATAGCATGCATAGGTTAGAAAACTAAGAAAGAGGGAAATTTTGAAAACCTCGGAGTCCAAAGCATCGTTGGTTGCTACATTTTCACGCTCTGCAAGTGTAAAAACAAATAATTTTAAAAAACTAAAACGATATAGTTAGGGTTTTATAATAATTAGAAAATTAGGATAAGGTATATAACCAAGGGTTCGCAATGTCCAAATACGCTTCATGATGGAAAGGATTAGATCCTGAATTGAACGAAGAAAGCATGTATTAAGTTAAGTTACGATAAAAGAGAAGTGCTATGAAGTGTGGAATGAAGAAGAAAGGGTTATAGGAACACCGTACAGAGTCGAAGGTAGCTTCCTCCATTGGTGACTGCTGCAGAAGAGTGAAACGTGGTTTCGTCAATCACCGCCACAAATGAGACTCGTTTGGAGGGAAACTAACAAAAACTATTAACTTTCTTACCACCTCCAATGAAACAATATACCAACCCGTTTTTATAAAATAATTGATTTATACGCTTGTAATATAAAAATTATTAGACATAATGTGTCCGTTGGTGTAGTGGTAATATTCATGTTTGGAAATGTCTAGATTGTATGTTGTGCATACTCTGATTTTTTTTATTCGCAATTATTTGGCAAAACCGGATTCTTTACATTATCTTTATCTTAAAATTTATGTCGGTTTAATAAACATTCTTGAATTAAAAATGGACCGATGATTAGAAATGATGGTAGATGTGAATTTTTGGTGTGAAGAAGACGGAGGTATGTAAAATTAATGCTTCAACAATTAAGTTAATATATGAGGATAAAAAGTGAATTCAAATTGTATTTGAAATTTGTCACAAGATTTGGCGCCTTCTTTATATATAATAGAAAAGGAATAACGAATTCACTATTTGTTAGAAGTGAATTGCGAAGAGTCATTGAATGTACTTGTAGATGAGACTCTTGTTAGTGTCATGAGAAAAATTCTCATATGCTAAAAAGATTTTGAGAGGATTACTATCTGATCGTACCTGATCAGAGAGATCGATGGGCTGCCACGCGTCTGAGCTGTCGAACGGTAGACTTGACGGACAGAGGGTGGTGTACCTGAAACACACTTCGATGTCAAAGTAAGCGACAGGCAGAGCGATTACAAGTACAGAGAAAAGGAGTGAGAATTGATTACCTGACCCTCTAGTGGAAGAGGGTATTTATAATGAGCCCCCGGCGCAGGGCCAACGGTTACCATGCGTTGGGTTAGGCTGTCAGGCCCAACGTTGGTAACTACTAGGGCTGACGTGGCGTCGAGAAGACCAGCATGTGGTCTTCGCCCTAGTGTAACTGTTTCGTGCTATCCGAGAGGTGGAGGACCGAATCATCAAGACACAGGTAGTTACTTGATGACGTGTCCTCACGTAGGGGACACGTAGAGAACGTGGGGGAGACATGAGGAGCTTCCCAGGCTGGATGGTCTTTGCCCGACCGTGGGACGGAGGAAGGCTAGTCGGACAGCTATGAGGGTCCTGCCCGACGGCTGTTGGTATGTATCCGACGTGAGAAAAGGTTATGCTCGACGAACCTTCTACTATTGGTTGATGAGGTCTTATTGGGCCTCCCAATCCTGGTGAGGCTTGGGCTTGCTCGACTATGGGTCAGGCGTTGGCCCAGTCCAGAACACTATCCCTTCAGGGTGGTCGGTCGGGGTCGACATGGATGACCTGGAACAGTTGTCTTTCGAGTCTATGTTTGGGCTCAGCAGGCATGGGTTTGCTACTATAGCTTTAGTTGTCGATCATTATTGCCTTTATGTGTGGAAGGCCAAAAGAAAACATCCCAATCCCTTGGGGATTTGCGCATTAAATGTTTCATACTTCAAACATATTTTTAAAAGTGTCATCATTGCAAGTCATGAGAACCGAAACACTTCACTGTTGCATGCAAGTGATTTGATTTGTTTCATAGAATTTATTTCCTTTTGCATGCTAGAATAAATCCCTCAAAGAGTCAACGTTATTTTCTTTGAGTCATTTTCTTAGTTTAGTTGTTATTTTCTTCTTTGGCGTTTCACTTCCTTGCATCTGAAAAGTTAGTGCATAATGGGTAAAAGATCAAATAAGAGTGTTCACAAATCCTAAAAGAGTGTTTAATCTTTTTAGGTAGTTTTTGCTTTCTTTACTACTGCTTATGTTTTCATTAAAGTGGGTGGTGTTGATGACGCCTTTAACGAAGTCAATCCACCTTCCTAGTGGGGAAAATTACGTCATTTCCTTTTATGAATGCTCTTTCTTTGTCCTGGGTGTTCACTTACTTTTCACTGTCATTGAGATAAAAGTATTGAAGCATCTGGAAATAGCTCATTCACAACTTCATCTTATCCGCTGGGTATATGTGAAGTTTTACCAGTATTGGTGTGAGCACCTGAAAGAAAAGCCTTGGGTGACCTTTTTCTTTCATCTCTTTAAATTTCATCGAAGTCCTGTGGATTGGGGGTGTATCAAAGGTTTGATTTCTTTATACCTCTTCCTAAGCTAAAACCTTTTGAAGATAAGTTTTTTCTGGTCACCCTCATCAGCCTCGAAGCTCGTGTCATAATTTGCATCGTTAGGGACAGAGTGGAGGGTCGATGCACTTAGTTGTTCCCTAAGTACTGAACTGAGAGTCACTTCTTATGGAGGCTCTGTATCAGAAGAACAACTGGCGAGCTTCATCAGCAAAGGGTTACTTCAGAGGAGGTACCCCCACTAATGAAGTCGACCAGAGACGCTTGCAGCGCCTCGTTGATGTATCATTACTGATGCAGGCCCATTCTTGAGAAGAAAGGAAATTCATCTTCAGTAAGTTTTGGAAACACTTGGTTTCTTTGCTTTTTAACATGTTTGTCCATGATTTATTTGTTTTGCCACTAACTATGATGGTGTGTAAATCATATGAAAGATGAAGTAAATATTCGTCTTTTGAAGTGAGGGGTATGTCCATCTAGGAATGAGTCTGTTTTGAATAAGCTCTCAATGCTACTGAATATGTCGGGTTTTCTTGACCATCTATTGTTGATAGAGTCGAGCTCTCATTCCTATGTAGACCGTTAGACCCCTCCCTTGGAAGAGGACTGCGCATGTTTGGCCAATTTCTCCGAGCCCTCCCTAGAGGAAGAACTGGCTACTGTGACTCGACATATCCAACATGCTTCTACTATTTTGGCTCTCAGCAGAGCTGGCCATTAGGAGGATCTTTGGCCCGACTTGCACCATGCTAAGAAGCAATAACTGGAGGAGAGTGTTCGCGATCTGAAGCTTTAGTGGGATAAATACCTGCAGAAAATAGAGAATATGTATACTTATCTTACCAAAGTGATATATGTTTTCCCCACTTTAATCTAGTTGGATCTCTTGTTGACCAGGTGACCCATATGGTGAGGAATATAGCAAGGAAGAACTAGGTTCTGGTTTTTAATTACTGCAGTTTTTCATCTGCTCAAGGAGAATTTGAGTCTTTGCACCTTCAGAACATTTTTCTAACTTGGCAGTTGGTCGAATCTACAAGTGCTACTCTTGAGGCAGTCTCATAGTCGTTTGAGAATGCTTTGCAGCAAATGAAGCATTTTCAACGTCCTTTGGTTGTCTTGAGGGAGCAAATTCGGGCAGATCAAATGGTCAAAGATGGGGGGACGTTGTGTTTTTGTGGAAGTAACCTTGACGAGCACTTCCTTGTTTTTTGTACTTCATGTGTAGTACTAATGTAATGGAAGAATATATGGAAATACATTGTCATTTTTAGAATGAAATTCTTTTTTACCTCTGCAAGGAATATTTGTGTGATAATGAGTGCAAGGCTATGGATGTATATTTATATGATCCTGAGAGCACATTCCATAATTTCTATCTTTTCAACTAAAGTATCTAAAACAATATAATGCTCTTCCACAAGAGATGTATGAGCTTCCTTTATACAATCTAAAGCACGATTAAGATTCTTTATCTCATGTTCAAGTGTATCAATAATTTCTTTTTGGAGATCAAGTTTCTTAAACGCTTTAATGCAATCAACATACATGTCATTAAAAGCACTAGACAATTCACCATAAGTATACTCATTTTCAGAATTAGAATTGTATACCTTTGAAGTTCCATCTTTCTCTCGTTCCATCAAGAAAATGTAGGCACACTCATCATATAAACACAAGCAGGAATCAGAGGAGCAACTTTCCACCTTTTTTCCCTATGCGATGTAGGTTTACTACCTTTGGAAGATTTTCCCTTCGTCTTGTAGAAAGCATTGTCTTTACTTTTATGATGTTTGGTGAGATTTAGACATTTAGTTCTATAGTGTCCCAATTTACCACATTCATATCATGTGATCTCATAATCTTCTTTCTTGTGATCCTTCTTAAGTGGATGAGTGTTTCAGAAATTCACTAGACCTTTGTTAGTATGCCTGAGCTTGTTTCTCTTAAGATATCTATTGTGACGTCCGATTAATAAATCCATTTCTTCCTTTTTGGAAACTTCTTCCTCAGAGTTGTCATGTTCTTCCTTTGACTTCTTCACTTTTGAGGATGAAGGTTTCAAAGAAAGATCATGTTTCTCTTGTTTCCCTTTCTCTTTCTTCTTAGAATTTACTTTGCTATCGACGAGTCATTTTAGCTCATTCTCATGCCCGACTAACCTCCCAAACAGTTTTATAATGTCAAAAGTACTAAGATCATTTGCTTCTTTTATTGCGGTGACTTTTGATTTCCACTCCCTGCACATGGATCTCAATATTATTTATTACAATCTTTGTTGGAAAAGGTTTAACCTAAGTCTCTCAGCTTGTTGATAAAATGGAGAAATCTAGTTTGCATGGAATCCACGGATTCTCCGGGTTCCATACAAAATAGTTCAAACTCTTCTAACATATTTATTTTAGAATCATTGACGTCTTTTATTCCCTCATAGAGAGTTTGGAGAGCATCCCACATACCTTTAACACTCGTATGATGTGAAATCGAATAGAACACTTTATCACTTAATGTTCAAATGATTATGTTCCTCACTTTGAAATCACAAGAAGCCTTTTGGTTTCATCATAATCCCAATCTTTTGGATGTGTAACAACGTCATTATCATCCTTGGGAATATATGGTCTCTCAGTGACGACACACCACAAATTTTTGTCAACCGATAATAAGTGTACATACTTGATCAATTTCCAATATGTATGGTTTTCGCCTTTGAAAATTGATACCCTATTATACGCTTCATTAGGATCGTTATCTTCCGACATATTCACAAACTTTTGGATGTCGATTAGACACAATCAAAAGACCAGCTCTTGATGCCAATTGTTGGGGGTGAATTCGAAATTAGAAAAATGGTCTAGGAGAGGTGAATAGAC